TAAAGGAGGAGGAGGACGACGACGACGAGAACAACAACGAGGAGGAGGGGGAAAGAGGAGGAGGGAAAGGAGGAGGAGAAGGACAACAATAAACCTGGTTTAAATCAATTACCTTGTAAAATGTATATAGTTAATATAATTCTGAGGGGGAACAATACTCAACAAAGAAAACAATGTTTGCGTCTCCGGTGACACTCTAAAAAGAAAACAAATCGAAACTCTATCCCTCAATACGATCGGTCTATCGGAATCGGATCGGACATGCCCGTCTGTCTCGTGAATGTTAAACAACAGGTCGATGAACAGCATCCTATTGCAAATCTGCTTTCGTGAGAGAGGTTTAATAAAAGAGCTTGCTCAGAAATGCTCCTCTGTGGGGCTGTATCTGTTCCACAGGGGAATAGAGACAGACCCCAGTGATTGAAAGGCGATGCCGCTGAGAGCAGACATTTCGGGGGGAGAAAATCAAGTTACATCCTGTTCTTTTTTAAAATTTAGCTTCGCTTGTACAAATCGATTTCCAATTATGCGGGGCCCAATTTTAACCCTTTTAGAATCAGTTTTGTGAAGGTTTTATCGTTTTGAAAATAGCTTTTCTATATGAGAGGGCAGTTCCCCAATATTGTCTGTAGCAATTCAACTTGCAAATAGGTGGATCCTCCTAATAATTACTTAATATTTTGTTCAGTAAATGAACGTAATGAAGCCGTAATCAGGCTATTATAGATACATACAAAGTGGTGATAAGCCAAACTTCATAAGTTGGGTATCCTCGTCCCTGAGATTCGATTCAAAATCACGTTGTGAAAAATTGTAATACATTTTTATTAGAACGATGGATACCCTCAAGGGTGAATTTCTTTTCATGTTCGTTCACGCTGTCAATGTATTAACATTATTATTACGCCTTTGTGCACACTTTACGCAAGAAAAAAAAAAAAAAGAAGAAAATAAAAGATGAAGTAGGCTTACTTACTTACTTACTTACTTACTTACTTACTTACTTACTTACTTGCTTACTACCCATTACGCCATCTGGCGTTTAGGGCAGCTCTGTCTGTTTTGGGCCATCTTGGTCAGCGTTTCCCACGCATGAATCCAGGACTTCATTTAAGACTCTACTGTGCGTCTCCAGGTTACTTTGGGTCTGCCCCTTTTGCGACGTCCTTCGGGTGTCCAGTGGAGGGCAGTCTTCACAATAGAGTCTGGTTCTCTTCTCAGAACATGTCCAATCCATCTCCATCTTCTCCTTTTTATTATAATGGTCATGCTTACATTTACGTAAAAGATGAAGTAGGCTACAATACAATAATATACCAAAGGGAGGTGAGGAACATGATGGACGAAATACGAAAGAAAAGGGAAGAAAACAGTTTTAAAAAACATCAGACAAGCATGATAATGAGAAGCAAAAATACTGGTATATCCCTCTAAATTTGAGTTTTAAAATTGTTTACCCTTAAAAATAAATCACTATCACATATTATGTAAAATAGTAAAGCAGTCAACTACACTTTCCTATATTATTCCACATGTATTGATGTTGTCTCTCTCCTTTTAAGCTTACCAAGGAAGATAAGATCTGAAGGGAGAGATGAGGTACTTGAACGATCTACTATCTATACTTCTGCCTCCCCAGCAAAGCTGTATCATTCATGCTGCTTTAAGATCGACTGTCAAAAGCCATACATAGCCAAGGGGAGGGGAAGATAATATGTAGACATATTTTATCTCAAATGGGCTCTATAAACAGAATCTTCAAAACTATAAATGTTTATAGGAAAACTGGTTTAGGCATGCTACGAGCGTGCCAAACTGAGAAGAATGAACCATTATTTTTGAAAACAGAACGAGAAAATTCACTCTGAAAGTGTTAATATCCGCTGTGAGATTTAGGGTGACATTTTAGAAACGCAAGACTTTGCCAATGAAACGGGTGCATCGCATTAGGTAAGGAGGAAGAGAGAGAGAGAGAGAGAGAGAGAGAGAGAGAGAGAGAGAGAGAGAGAGAGAGAGCTAGGGCAAGATTGACAGAGGGATTGAGACGGAAAGGGGATTTAGCGGAAGATCGGAAAACGGACGTTTATAAAGACGGGGAGGAAAGCGACCCAGCTTTGAAGCAAAGGGAAGACATATAAAAGAGGCGAAGTTAATTAGAAATGGGGAAAATTAACAAGTGAAGGGAAGCAGATGGAAACGGGGAAACACAGACATGAAAGGATGCGATGTAATGAAAGAGGAATGCGTAAGAGGACCTTTGTAGGACGAGACAGTTTGACATTAGACATGTTGGCAGCCACTGGATTTTATTCTGTGTTATACAGGACGTCAATCCTGACAAAATATGACGTAATGAATAGATTTCTTGGTTAATAGTGTATGTTGTATTTTATAATAATTATATGTATATTATTATAATATGATAGTATTGTGTGTGTTTAATTACAGCAGGCACGATACAGTGTATTATATAATAGGTGTGAATGTGTGTATGTGTGTGTGTGTGTGTGTGTGTGTGT